CAGTACTTGTAGCCATTTTTGTTGTACTTTTACTGTTATCAAAGCCTAAATTTGATTTCTATGGTTATTATACACTTTATTTACAACCGACATATCTTGCAATTATTATTCTCCTAAACGACCTCGCCATTAAAAAAAAAAAACAATAATTAAAAACGTTGTCGTAATTTAATTATTATGCAAATTTCTTTCTTCGAGTTACACAATGCATAGCAATATATCCAGTAAATTTTAAGATAACCTGTCCCCATCAACTGTTTTCACCAAGTTGTTTCGCTCCTCTAAGTCTTTCTTATTAATTACTTCTATCATATTGTGCATTGTTTTCCTCTGCCCCTAATTTTTTTACGTTAATTATAACCTAAATAACCATTTAGTACGACGACTGTCCATCTTAGGCATTTTAAGAATGTGAGTTAAAAGCGATCTATTTTAAAGTTATTTTTTAATCCTTGAAAATTATTTTCTTAGGGGTTTGTGTCTAGAAAAATGTAGGACACTGTATGGGTACGATATCGTGTTTCCAAATATCTTAGTTTATCCATCCATTCTGTTCATACTTCTGTTCTTGCTCGCGGTAATTAAGAAATTCCAGAGAACAAGCCACGAGGCAAACCATGATACGAGAACTGTGTGCCTTGCGACTTAGAGGATCCACTCAGTCGCATCATTGGGATTATTTAATGGACTCTGGTAATTATATCAGAATATTTTTGATGATTTTCAGCAATATAGTAGCACCATTTTGCTTTTGGTCCGCACTATTCTGCATCAAATGCCTGTCCTGAAGGCCATAAAATTGCTGAAAATATCGATCACATCAGAATTTCATTTTTGATAAACCCAGCCCAAAACCCGTCAATTTTTTAATATCAAAACAAAGGCTGTTAAGTTTTTATTTTATACTCCACATAACACCATTGGTTTTAATATGACTGTAAGGTTGACATTTATTTATTATTATTATGTGTTAAATATTATTTAGAAATACAAAACTTATCGTGTTCACTTAACTGGATACAAATAGTATATTACATTGCATTATATTCGATTCAATTCAATTTAATTCAATTATGTAGACGAAATAAAGTGGTTTTAGCCATTTTTGGACGTCAATGTTTTATCCAACTTATTTGAAATACTAAGCTTTCAGATACTTGATAAAAAAACTAAAAATAATAGAAATAAATTAAAAAAAATAATCGCAACTAGTATTGGAAATGCAGGAACAGAATTCATGTTCTTTTAGAATATTCCAAATACTAACTGGTAAAGTCTGTTCATAGATGTAAGAAAGTGACCAACTGATACTTTGCTTAGAATTTAATTATTTGGGGTTTTGTTAGGAAAGATACTAAACAATATTTATTTATGTATGTATATATGTTTAAATCTCAAATAAAATTACAAAATATTTCTATTACCTACTTAAATTACTTAAAATTATTCACATAATATATCAGTATCACTATCGCTATCATCGCCTGTTCTAATTACTATTTGTTCTATATTATTTGCAATATGGATATACGATTGTTCTGCTTATTCTATATGTTTAACTGAATTTGCCCAACTTTGTGGAGGGATGTTAAAAAACTTCGGTTTCTATAAGTTTGAGGACATTGGAGTTAACACGGGGAAAACATTGTTACGACGAATGGCAGATTTCAGTTGGTGCCAAACATGTTCAATGGGATTAAATATACAGTGGTAAGGTGGAAGCCTTAAAACTGTATGCCCTGGATTTTTTGCATAATTATCACAGATGTATTCCTTTTGTAGGTTCAAGCTTTGTAGAACCTCAATTAATTGCTTTTTGGTACAGTCTTCGTGAAAATAAATGTTGTTATTATACACGTAGTTTTGGATTGTTGCTTTTGTGTTACATGAAAAAGAGGTTTTAGTCAACTGTCGTGTCCATTACATTACATTACGCTGTTAGGAGGAATGTTGGAACTAGTTTGTTTTTAAACCAACTTTCAAATAAATCAGCGGTGGTGTCTTAATGGTAATCCAGAGAAGAATCTTTAATATTTTTCGCAGACAGAGAAAGTCCATTTGGAATCCAACCATCTTTAGAGCCAGCATGCAAAATAGTTATTCTTTTACCTCTTTTTGATGGCGCGTTTGTTTTACACTTATCAGTTTAGTCAACCCAACCCAACCCTTTTCAGGGGTATCGAACCAGGTTTCATCCAAATAATTAGCCTTTGTTGTTCTCTGTAAATCCTAATTTCTTTTGTCAATTTTTTTTAAATGTAAAACTCATGAGTTGAATAAACTTCCATAAGATAGTTCTGCCACATTTAACACCGGTTTCATCTTTTTCAAGCCTCCTAATTAATGTAGTAGTATGTAGTAGTAGTAGTAATGTAGGCACGCTTTGTTCTTCGTATATCTGGTAAATTTTACGCCATATTATATCTTGATCACTTTCATCTACATTCGAGCAAATGTCAGCATCGCTTCGTTTTTTCCTCGCTGAAATGGGATTGTTAACAATTTTCCATACAGTTGATATTGGAATTTTCGTCTATGTGGCCGTGTCTTCTAAAGGTGCTTGCTTGCTGGCACTACGTTCAATGAGAGTCAAATAAACATTGTTTATAACTTCCTTAGTCTTAATAAAATAGTGTTTTCTACATTTGGGCGGGAGCATCTCCTGAGATCCACTAGACTCGCACATATTTTGCATAATTTGCACACGATTCAACACACGATGTATTACGCACGAAATAAGAATGATTACTGATAAACGTATACTAAGTAGTATACCAAACCAAAGCATATTAAACACAGGTAGGTATAAAAATTTTTTCTATTACGGGCCACAATTTTACCTGAATTTAAATTCCGAAACTTTAGGTTTGTTGCATTGTATGTTAATGACCTTTGACCCTTGAATAATCCCATTCAAAAGCAATTGGCCACTTTCTTATATCTATGAACAGACCATATCAATGCTACCGATTTTGAGTCAGCCGTGATAAGAAACATAAAGACAGATTGTCCATAAATATTTGAGCGTGTTTAGCTGCAAGAATATTTGATGAACAGCGTCCACCCTTTCGAATATATTTGCAATTGGAAGAAAAATAGTAGCCCTCTACAAATCGCGAGGTTGAGTTATGGCGGCCGTTTGTCGCTCGATCGAAACCACTGGAGAGATGCATCGGAAATTGGTTAGATAAATAGGCTATCGTTTGTCCAAACACCGAAGAATGTGTGCCAATAAATAAACCAATTGAGTCGGTTTTGCTAACAAATGGGCTAACTGTGCAACATCGCAAAATAAATGAATTTATAGAAGTTTATAAGCATAGGGCGCTTTAAGAATACTAAATTTTCGATATCATAGAAACAGAAGGATAGCATGAATTATATTAGGGAAATATTTGTAGCTAGAAAATAATTATTAGCTTGTGTTACATATCTTGAATCAAGTTTATTTAATACTTGAAAGCTTTTAAAAAAAATACTCTAGCAAATTGATTTTTTTGCTGTCGTATTCAATAAATGTTGAATGAAAAACACATGTGTCTTTAAAATAAAGTATCTAGAAATAAGCTCTTAAAATGTTCAAACAATTTGTTTAAGTTAGAAACTTTGGGAATCAAAATTATCTGATTAAATTAGTGAAAATAATGGTACTGAGCCAAATACGTCTTAGTGAAAGGTAGATGATAGGGCGTCAGTTCTCTACAGATGCAGCTCTGTGAGATATCGATATAAAGATGTAGTCGGGGGTTTTCATATTTTTTCGTATAACACCAGTTAAATGAGTTATTATACCACAACTTTCTTGTCGATATCCTTTCATTACTTTGCTTGTATTAAATAGAATTTTATTGTAAGTCAAATTGAGCTCCATTTGATTCAAGATTCTGTTTGGGAGAGCTAGCAATTAGAAAGTCACTGCAACCCAGAATCCATTGTGACTCTCGCTATAACTTCATAGCTTTATCTGGATTCGCGTTTCTCATTAGACTCCACAGCTTCCATAGTGAGTTCTTGGTGGAGCTTGTTGCGCCTGGTTTGCACTTTTCGATATGGTACTTGAGTATATGTGTTTATGTCAGGTATATTGACAAGAACTTAACACCATGATTCAATTAACGAGAAGCCCGGAATTTCATTCATTTTAACTTTTGTGAGGTTTACATTTAAAGACACGTTATTTGATCCATCTTTCCATAATATCCAAAGATGGTTCTCATTATACTCATCTTTGAGCTGCAGAGGTTGTTAAAAAAGTCGTTATGAAAATTCATTTTTAGTAAATTTTCATATTTTCTGTAAATCACATAGGAAAAATCTAAACTGAAACCGAGAATTTCAAAACATAATTAGTGGGCCTTGCTGATAAGTTAATAAAATATTGTAAATTATAGCCGCAATCAGTCAATTTTAAGTCGAAACTTTATTGCTGAAATTGAACAAATTTTAAGAAAATTTTATCAAGCTATATTTGTCTCAATAATATTATTTTGACTACCTTATGTTCGGATGTTCGACGCATTTATAACATGCCATACAAAACAAAGGCACATTTTGTAAATAGCTTTATTTCAAGAAACAAAACAACAAGTTTAAATAAGTTTCTTTAATCGATTTATAAATGCATACGATCGCTTCTTCCGTCAATAATTTCATAGAAAGCAATGAGTCAATCCGCGTTCTCAAACTTTCATAAAAATTGCTTTTCTTAATGCATATAGACAACACAAAAAGCGTTCGTGATGAACCTTTGCCCGACAGTTGTTGGGAATCATGCTGCAAGACATTAAAATGATATTGCTTGGTAACACGCGAACGATGGTAGGCGTTGACATATATGCACGCAGACTGTCGGTTCTTTCTAAGAACGTAAAGCCTTTTATTTGTTCCCCTTTGTATCTGTTTATTATAAATAAAGAATTGCATAAAATTTAGTGTTAGAGGTTTCTAACGCAAGTAAACATGAATGATATAGAAGATTTTCCTCTTATTGGGACAATTACCTTGTTGGCTATTTTTCCGGGTCGTTTTCTTTTCCTTCATCCACGGATACTCTGGAACGTTGACTCCAGGCGAACCCATGCCATGAGGTACGTCCATCGAAAATCCTCCCGGAGGTGTATGTTGGGGACTCATGGGAGGACCGTGGGGAGGCAATTCAGCCGACAGATGTGGTAGAGCGGTCATGAACTGAAAAAAGAGGTTTAATGCATTTTAACGCAGAAATAAAAGGCAAAAATTCTGTTATAAAATCGTAAAACCATACCCCAAATTTTTGGTCTTTAGTACAGCAAAATTATTGACTTCCTTATAAATTATTAATTATTCCCAATAATTCTGACAAATAATTTAGTTTTAAAAGTTTCTGTTTGTACTTTTGTTTATCTGAATAATAAATTTTGAGCAGTGACGCATCTCTCACCAATATAATACAAGATGTAATAATAATAATGATAATTGACTAATATCTTGCCTTGTACATAAGACCAACACTTTGTATTAACCAACACAAATTAAAAATTCATATATAGATTTATTTAATAAAAACAAAAAATCTTTAACTTATTTTAATTAGATAGCTATTTTATCTTAGATGTTATAAGCACGCATATTTATAAATTCATAATTACTGTTACTTCCCCGCTTATTTTATTTTTATGTCTTTTATTTCTATAATTGTGACAATTCCTGCCAAACTCGATTGCTTGCACATAATTTGCAACATAACATCATATCTAGACGCCATTAGTGTACCATTGCAAAAGGCCGACCATACTTGTACTTTAGGATATCTCATGAAAATGTTTTTATAGTAAAAAAATCAGATCTTCACTAAATAGTTCATCATTTTCTTCTGATCATGGTCCTAAAGTGATCCTACGATATTCTCAGTTCTCAGTGGATGAAAGTTCGAATGAACGAATAGCCACTGGGGTTATTATTATCTTTTGACTCTTGGTACAAAAGCTGATAAAAATAGTTCAAATGGTTTAGAAATTCTTTCTCTATAATTTTTACGATGTATTGTATTGAATAATCCAGTTTCATTGAGCTCCGTAACTTCTTGTAAAGGTATAGGGATAAAGAAACATTCCATTTGTAAATTAAAAACCAGTAATTTTCCTTTGAATTTTCACGCAGACTGAACGGGACTGCGACTTCATTTTTTTAAAGTAATATTTATTACTGGTTGTTTATTCAGTTCAAACAAAAAGACCATCTATTCAGGAGAATAGTGAAATTATGTTGGCAATTAGCTAAAAAAATAAGCGAAGAATCGAAGCTTTGTCGACAAATTTTGCTAATAAAAAGAATAGCATGACGGTCAGACTAATGATTATTTGGTCCCAGACAGACCTTGAGACATCCTCAATAAAAACGACTTAGAGGTCATGCAGTATTGTAGTCAGTGTTTGCCAAAGTGTTTCAATCTTGAACGTATTTTTTTTTGCAATATACGCTTACTAATAAGTCTTAGATGGAAAACGTCTGATTTGAGGCATTTAATGCAAAATACGAAAACTCTAAATAATATCTCAATATGTTTTTCAAAATCGCTTTTTAATAAATATTTATTTAAAACACTGATTATTTACAATGGCGGCGTAGCAGTTTGTTGATGGGTATACCAAATATCAAAGTGATTTTTTAAATCAATTTATTTTTAACTTAGCATAACTAAAAAAAAACAAACAAGCCCATAAATTTGCATGTAGGTTTAAATAATTATGCTTTGATTTGAATTACTGAAGACTCATTAAATCAGATCATGGGCTTCGCTGGACGGAATCGAGAGTGTTATTGTTAAACGACTGGCTTCAGACTAGCAGAGAGTTGTTTATTAGTTCACAGATACAATTCGATTCAATCTTCCGATAAGACAAAATATGAATTGGTTGGACGTCAAATACTTGCTTTCATTTTTTATGGTTCATAGCAGACATTTTGTGGATGGGAATATAAATTTTGCCCATTAACGCTGCGGTTCCAAGTTTTTGAAAAAATCGATAACTAATATTCTATATTAAAAATTGAAGATATTTAAAAAATAGGCTCTGGGTCTGCATTTTAGCAAGCAAGGAGCAAAAAACAAATTAAGTAATAACTTCAAAATTAAAAATTATATACAGAAAATTTGGACGCCAATTCCTTTTTCACGCGGTATTTGTTACAATATCTGCTTTACTTTAACTTTGTTTCAAAACAAAAAAAAAACTTAAATTTAATCTGGCAAATCCAAATAGAATTAATAGACATTTTGCTCATTATTGTGGAAATGTTTTAGTTAAGTCTAATGATCAAACAATGCCCATTTATTGGCCTCTACTATATAGACAGCTGTATTGAACAAAACTACTTTTCTCAAAGCTGGAAGACTGAAATCAGAAATCCTTTACTCAAACACCAACAACCCCGAACGATTTGCGCATTATAGTCATCCTGCCAGAAATTTCGAAAACTCTGGAAAAAATCTTACACTCTAAAGTATACTTACATTTTATTAACAACAAAATTATTCAGGTTGTGCAGAACGGGTTTCGTAAAGGATTTAGCTCATCTTCAGCCCTTGTATTGGTTACTGATTATACTATTGAGGCACATTATTATTCAAACTTAGGTGTTATGGGTTTGAGTATGGGATCATTAAATCTTGTCAGATTTTATTTTTGTAAAAGGTTGTGGTGGATGGTGTTTTTTCAGAGATCAGGATTGTGCTTTCTGGGGTGCCCTAAGACTCTATACTTCTATACTTCTATATACACTTCTATGCAGAGGTTCTTAAACGTACTACCTCAGGCAAGGTGAAAGTTTTTGCACTAAAACTGAATGCCTCCATTTAACAAAAAGAGAAATAGAGATTTTTTAATGTCAAATTTGATTATTCAGTATTTACAGCCACAATTTAACATTTAGTGAAATGGTACACAACCTTGGTGTCCTGCTTGACTCCAATTTACCCTTACACAAAGGGTACAAATCTCACTTAAGTTACTTAAGTCTCATTAAGTTACTCTAGTCGTCATTTTCTAAAAACCAAAATGAAAGTTACATTGTGCGAGGTACTAGTGCTCCCTTTCTCTGTCTTGGGTTGTCGGAGCAATATCGCATTCAAAATGTTCAGAATAGTTGCTGTCGTTTGATATTTAACCTAAGAGGATCGGATCATATAACGCTTAAACTTCAGTGGTTGAACATATTTAATCGAAGGACTAATCATTTGCGTTGTTTTGTACATGGTTTAGCAAAAAGTTCTTTTCTTTAGAAAGTCTTAAATTCTAGCTGAGCTCTAATATGCATAGCGGAGGTATAAGAAATAAATTGAAATATTTAATACCGAACCACAGAACAGCTGCATGCAAAAAAGGTTTACTTATATTAGCATTAAACTTTATAATTATTTTCCATATTTCATGAAAGCCCTTTTTAAGATTTATTTAATTAACAAGCAGGTAGAGACTTGTGGCTTATTGCATGGGTAGTACTAACTCACTAATTCAACTTTCTTTGTTCTATTTATCTATTGGTTTCTGTTCCTACGCATAAATTTGTTGTTATAGTTATTGCATTGGGGACAGTAGATAATGATGTGCTTATTTTCTTTTCAGCACACAAATTATCTTCATTGGGGTATTTATAAGCGCAATCTACATAAACTAGGTTTTAGTTTGGTCTACCAGAGTTGGGTTGAATACAATATTGCAATATATTACATACAATAATACAATATACAAAATATCCGGTAAATAAAAATGTTTAAATGCAAGAGAATAAAATTGGTATCAAACAACTCGTTAGTTTCTAGATTCTAGATTATCGGACATTTTGTTCTGATTGTACATTAATGTATTTTTTTTCGAACAAGTTTTCAAAATAATTGAAAAAGGAACTCGTTAAGAGCAGTTTCAACGAACCTAGAGGAACCGCTGTATTGAACTCCTATTCATTCAGGTCTTTTTTGTAAGCAAATTTTGAAACAAAAATAAAAAGAATAATTAGACTTCACCTCTGCCATTGACGGCTGACTGTTGATAAACCCTGTTTCACCACATCCTTCTAAGGGATGGTGAGTAGGTGCCCCTGGTGCCCCAGTTCCCGGCGTCCCTGCGGGAATCCAATAGGGGCCGCCCCCCGCTGCGCCTGCAGCGGCGACGGCCCCTTCAGGAGTGTTGGACCGCGTCTTAACTGCTACGAAATCGACGTCGTCTTCAAGCTGGCCCGTCGGCATCCGTATGCCGTGATGCTTGATTCTGAAACCAAAAAAACCCAGTTGTTTGTTTCTCTAACCCCCACGTTTTGAAGCGGCCAGTTTCAGAGTACTTCGATTCGATATAGAATACGCAGTAATTGGATATCGGAGAAAAAGTTACACAGTTAATCTGGTGACCACCTTTTAAATTAGCTACCTGTCGAATTTTGTAACTTAATTCAGTAACCAGATACGTTAACCGTTGAAATCCTATATTGGAACGTCAATTTTACAAGGATATCACATAAATTTTGAATTGTTTGTTACGAAAAATAGTAAAAAAGTTTTCAACAATATTCTTGAACCTAATTTATTCTGCTTGACTAAAGAGCATCTTCAATTTTTGTGGGAATATAAACTGCTAAAATTGGTTCCAAGATTTATAATTTATGTTGTTGTTTGTAAGGAAGAAATCTGAAGGGTTTGGTTCGGTAGGTAGGTAGATTTGTTTATTACCCTTCACATAATACGTTGCTAAGATTGGTCTTTAACAATAATGGAAATGGAAGAGATTGCGAAAGCATAAGATCAAGGATGATAACTTAATGACTTGTAATTTAATTAACCAGTATGTCAGTACCGGGCCTCATAATGTAAGTAAAACTATAATTTTCAATATGGGATGGGATCAAATGATAAAGCGTCATTAAAAATATAAGGATCCAAGCAGCATGTGTTTTTCTTTGACTTACACATGTGTGTTAAATACCACAATTACTCCACAACTAATCTATTGGTTTGATTTTTTGAATCAGCACAAGGTCAAAAAGTCATATTAGGTGTGGTGTAATTGTAATCAACTAAGTATTTAATTTCGCATCCACCCCAGATTTCACTTAGACTGATGGGTTAGTTTTTTTGCGATAGATTTTCATCAACTGGCCTGAGTTGCTGTTATTATTTCTTTGTAATTAACAACTAAGGTCATTTAGGATAAATGAATATATATGTATATTTATTGCAGTTAGGCGGTAACTTAACAAAATTAATTGTTGCTACTATTTACTACTGGTTTTTGGTGTCTCTATTTTCTTTTCTTCCTTATTGCGGTAACTTTTTCTTGTGCGATAAATGAAAAATCTATTTTTAACTGTGTCAGAGCATGCGTCAAATTGTTGAAACATATACAACAAATTTTTATTTCATCTATTCAATATTATCACAATTTACCTCATCGACCACCGGCGGTCCTGAGACGACACCCACCGTCCATGCACGTCACCATCACTAAATCAAGTCACAAATCCTTACAAATTCAAATCCCAAAATCCCACCGAACGAAACACGCGCGTAACCGTCCTTTGCAGCGCTCAAAACGTGCAAGCGTATCGTCCTTCAGACGGCGCGGATGATGCAGTACGCGCCGCAATCCTGCAAAACTTCCCGCGAAAATCCTGCTACGATCGGTCGACGAGACGAGAAATAGAAAACGATTGTTACGTGTGCGTCCGTAGTTACTGTTAGTGACGCTTGTTTTTGTTTCTTTCTCAATGAGGAGGATGATGGCCGGTCACGTGGCACAACCGTCCGCCAATAGGGGTCCGGAACTGTGCCGGAGTGGGAGGAGTTGCGGGTCCGGGAGGCGGGTGTACGCCTGGCGTGTCGACCTCGGGCTGCAATTACCAGGTAAAATTATATAAAAAAATTCCGATTTCACATGAACACGTCTTTCTCCCTCGAATAAAATTACTATTCTCGATGTACCTTTGATATTCTTATTACTTTAAACACGGACGGGTTTCACTCACGCAAGCCTATTTTCCACGAGTGCTTTTTAACTTTATACAAATTATATACAGAGTGATCCTCTGGCTACGTACGCCGCCCGTTGGAACATGAACATTTTTTCTGGGCTCGGAATTGTGTTGTTGCAAATCGCCTTTGGAAGTCGTCGGCATGCGCGGCTTCTCTGAGCGCCGGTAACACGGAGGTACCCAGGTAAATGAGGTGTTTTAATATTTTTTTAGAGAACTGGAAATTTTTAAGATCAATTATCCACCGCAAATTAAATTTAGAAATTAGTTAACTTTTTTGTCTCATTGTTTGTATGTTGTTACTGTAATGAAACATCAACTACTAAGGAGGATAAATTTCAAAAAGAAAACGCCCAAATCCATGAAAATGACAATAAAAATAACAGATACGTGTATGTTTTAGAACTGTATTGGTTTTCTGATATATCCAATAACCAATTTTTTATTTAGTTATTTTCTGTTCTGCGCTGTACAGTTCGGGCTTTTTCTTGCATGTTTTAAATCCAATCCAAATATAATACAATAAGTTTTATTAATAATTAATAATTAATAATTTATATATATATATATATATATATATATATATATATATATATATATATATATATATATATATATATATATATATATATGTATATTCTTTCTTTTTTTTTCAATTTCTCTTGGGTATTCGGTCTCTCGAAAACAATTAATGTGATTCTTCTAAATATTTATTAACGTTTCGATCGTAATTTCGATCTTTTTCAAAATATTCTATTTTGTATAGGTGACATATATAACAATTAATGACTTTAGACGTTGTGTTAATATATAAAAAATAAAAATAATTTGTCAGTGAATATTTTATACGGATTGGAATGGCACGCAAAACAGGTACGGATGTTTTTTTATTATTTTTTATTTTATTGGATAATTTAATGTTGTTAGTTTAAAATTGAATGATATATTTTGTTAAGGTTTTTAGAATCGGTTTTGTAATTAATTGAATTTTTGTTTTTTTGGATTTCTATACTTTCATAAAGTTCTCTTTTTTTGGTGTTAGGTTCTGTTAGTAGGACTTTAACTTTTTGAAAATTAAATGTCTGTTTGGTGTTTTCGCAATGGGTATGAAGAGCTGCTTTGTTTTTTTTGTCATACTTATGTCCGTTGATTCTATTTTTTAAATATTGGCTTGTTTGTCCTATATATATATATATATATATATATATATATATATATATATATATATATATATATATTGTCGCAATTAGAGCATGGAATTTTATATACTATATTGCTTCTGTGAAGAGATATGTTTTTGTAAATTATAACTTTATATATATACATATATATATATATATATATATATATATATATATATATTATATATATATATATATATATATATATATATATATATATATATATATATATATGTATATATGTATATATATATATATATATATATATATATATATATATATATATATATATATATATATATATATATATATATATATATATATATATTCTCACGTATTGATTCACGGATGGAAAAATGTGATGACACTATACTCCGGGATATCATCCGTTCTCACTTGGCATCTTCAATGCTCGCGCTCCGAAAACACTTCGAACACTGTGTTTGTTTGCAGGATTCCAGTCGGATGCAGGATTCCAGTTCAACGAGCGAACGGATGATATCCCGGAGTATAGTGTCATCATATATATATATATATATATATATATATATATATATATATATATATATATATATATATATATATATATATATATATATATATATATATATATATATATATATATATATATATATATATATATATATATATATATATAAGTGAAATAGAAACGCATCTCGGAAGTTTACTAGGTAGCTAAATCAAAATCTTTTACGTGAAAATTACCACTTAATATAGGTCACACAAAATATTATTTTCGAAAAGTGATACATAGACATAAATATAATTTGACACAAAATTATAGCCCTACGACATTGAGTAATCATTCTTGTGAATATTGTGAATTCTTGACCTACGTCTTTTTTTAGTTCATACCACTCCTACCGATGTTTTAATTTCACGTTATTTCATATTGTTCCCTCCATTTTACGATTTTACTGGAATCATATATAAAGGCATTATAAGTTAACCTTTCAAATAAGTAGTAAATTAAAAGCGAATTTTTCCAAAAGCAAATGAAATTCTTATACCAATAAAGTAATTATTTTTAAAAATTTTAATGACAAAGTAAACAATATTTTAGCGTCTGCGTCGGTATTTGCTGTTTAAAATATGATTAGGTAGTTAAATCTGCTAATGTTATGTGAAACACTTCTACATTTATTGGTAGCCATGTTATAAGTACAGAATAAAAATATTTGAGAACTTCTAAATTTAACCTAACTTACTTAAGCAAAGTATAAAACGATTTATTCTATATCATAATACTTGCCTTTCAATTATAATTTCAATAATCTTGTCTTGTTTTGAGCACAGTTTCCTACTTGATATTTATTATTAAAAAAAAGGAAACAAATACACACATTCTATCTCCATTTGATGTGCTAAACATCTTGATCCAAACTTGAAATTTTGATAGACGATGGATTATGGATTAGTGGTATGTTAATATTCTATTGTTGTCTCTGACCTGGCTTATATTTACACACAGGAGATGTCTAAATCTACTCTACAAAATACTTTACTGTATAAATCTGCCTCTACATAGTCCAGAATTTCAGATTTTACACTAATCACACTACTGTTTTCTGAGACTAAGATAAAACCCCAAATGCGGTTGGAATCCAAATTTTGGCATAGACTGCTTTCATTCATACTCACCTATTGCAGCAAAACTCTCAAAACTTGCTTGCGACTTGCCTCTAGAGTTCAGCATAGATGGAAAACTATTGTGCGTGAGTGAGTGATTGAATACAAAGAATAACTTTTATATTGCAAGAAAATTTTGAAAATCTCATTGTCTGAGTATACAGTTTCAGTATAAATATAGTTGAACTTGGGTTGGCAACACTTTAGATAAGACAATATTTACTCTCTAAGATTAATTTTTTATTAAATATTCTCTACTGATATGCAGAAAAGAAAAAAAAAACAAAAAATTTTATCATTTCAGGACTAAACATGACGTAAACCCTTACCCTCAAAAAATAGCAAGGAAAAATTGCAAATTTAATAAAAAAATAACTAATTAAAATTGAAATATTTGTGAAACCAAAAATTATAATATTGATTAAGGTGATAGGGTTTGATAATATCTTCCAAATATAGAGGCAACGTCCAAATGAAAGAGTTCGATATAAATATATTACAATTATTTTTAAACCTGGTAGAACAAAATCGATTTTCAAAAACATGACTGCTTTTATTACGATTAATTTTTGTCTTTTATCGTTCCAATATTTCAAGTTTATTACAATTCATATAATAATACTGAATAACGTGATCAATTGAAACAAAAAAAAAACACAATTTCCTAAAAGTATTTAAATGTACATATCAAGAATTAAAACAGTAAATTCATTGAAAACATTTTAGAATCGAAATGCACATCAGCGATTGAAAGTTCTTATTTTTTAACCATGCTTGTAGATCCGCATTTGTTAATTCTGTCATAGCGTTAAAGTTCTAATCGCCAAATGCTATTGTAAGCCTACTTAAATCTAAAGAGGTTGTGCAACTGTTGGTTAAATTCTCAGCATTTGCCTAATCATAAATATCTGATGCTATGGTTGACCTGTATCTTCTAAAACCTAATTCATAACCAACCAACAGAGGTGTTAGTGTTAGTTGTTAGTGAGGGACATAAACACCGTCTCGGATGACTGATTCCCAAATTGGTGACAGGTAGAGACCTGAGTGGCGGTTAAGATTGTTAGGTTGTTTATAGATTTCTATAGACTCTCTTATTTTTCGTTGGTAGAAGAACTGATTACATGCAAGAATTTTAGTTTTGTCTAATAAAATTTTATGTCCGGTTTCACGAGTGTATTCGGCAACAGCTGATGAGTTTATTTGTCTTAGTCGTAAGGCTCTTTCGTGTTCTTTGAGCCTAGTTCATATTTTTCGTCCGGTCTCTCCAATGTATTTTTTGCCGCTCTGCATGGAATGCTGTAAACTGGCATCTCAAATGAACTTTTGTTTTTGACAGACCGAAGATGTTGAGAGATTTTTGGACAATGGTTAAATCTGGCTTTGATGTTATACTTCTTTAGAACTTTTGATATGATGTTTTGAATGTAAGGAAGGACCACAGTGGCAAATGTAGGATTTCTTTCGGCCTCGTTGCTATTGGAAGTTTGTGGTGAAGTGTATTTTTGAAGGAACGCTTAATATCTTTAATTTGAAAATTATTAGACAGAAGAGCAGAGGAATCCAGAGTACCGTTGTCATATTTTTTAAAGATTTCCGCATTATCACATACTAATGCGTGTGAATAGCCGAGGAGCTGTGTCGTATTTTCTGATATCAATATTATAAGCAATATAAGCAGGTAGTTCCGAGAGTAATTACAATTTAAAATAAAACAATTCGAATCAGCCTGCCATGTTGCTCGTTTTGCTAGGTTTCACTCACTGGATTTTAAAACTCCCAATGTACATTTTTA